TTTGGGGAGGGGAGGGGCCCCAGGAGGGAGGAGGGAGAGGAGGAGGGGGCCATTAAGGACCAATTAGGGAGGTCAATGGAGCCCATATATAGCCTGCCTCCCGCCTGGGTGCGCTGGACTTTGGGGGCCGGAGGAGGAAGGAAGGAAGGAAGGAAGCAGGCGCAGCATCTTCTCCTCTCTTCTCTGCCCTTCTCATCCCTTCTGGGACACCCCCCCCCCATTTTGGAGATACTTTTGGGGTCCCTCTGCCTTTTCCCCATCCTCAGGGACTCTCCTGAGCCAGGTTTTGGGGAGGCTTCCCTTCCAAACTCCGGCTTTTTTCAATCCAAAGCCAGGCTTGGGTGGGGGGATCCCTCCTTGGGGTCTGGGCTTGAAGCCAGGACCCCAAATCTTTGGTCCAGATTTTGGGGTTCCCCCTTCCAACTGAACCTCCTTTTATCCGGATGTTGTGTCTTCCCCTTTCTAACTGAGACAGCTTATTTTGGGGGGTCTCTCTTTGGAACCAGGTCCAGGGACCCTTCTTTTATCCAGGTTTTGGGGTCTCCCCCATTCTAGCCCGAGCCAGGTTTTGGGGATCCATCCTTGAGACCAGGTTTGGGGTCCCAACTTGAAGCCTGGTTTGGTGACCCTCTCCTCACTCCAGATTTTGGGTCTCCCCCCTTCATCCTGAGCTGGGTTTTGGGGTCCCTCTTTTATCGAGATTTTGGGTTTTGGGGGACCCTCCTTGAAGCCAGGGTTTGGGAACCCTTCTTTTAACAAGATTTTGGGGTCTCCCCATTCTAACCCGAGCTTGGTTTTGGAGGTCCCTCCTTGAGACTTTGGAGGTCCCTCCTTGAGATTTTGGGGACCCCTCCACAATCCAGATTTTGGGTCTCCCCCTTTTATCCTGAGCTTGGTTTTGGGGACCCCTCTTTTATCCAGATTTTGGGGTCTCCCCTTTCCAACCTGAGCTTGGTTTTGGAGGTCCCTCCTTGAGATTTTGGGGACCCCTCCGCAATCCAGATTTTGGGTCTCCCTCTTTTATCCTGAGCTTGGTTTTGGGGACCCCTCTTTTATCCAGATTTTGGGGTCTCCACTTTCCAACCTGAGCTTGGTTTTGGGGATCCCTCCTTGAAGCCAGGCTTGGGGACCCCTCCTCAATCCTGCTCCATCCTGAGCTTGCTCCTTCAGGCCAGGTGTGGGGGTCCCCCTTTCCTTACTTTTGGGGCCCCTTTCTCCTCCTCCTCCTCCTCCTCCTCATTCTTCTGCTGCGGATGATGGGCTCGGTGCTGCCTGCGGAGGTGCTGGGGCTCAAGGGCCCCCCTCCCCCGCCGGGGCCCCTCTCCTTGGCGGAGGTCATCACCTCGGACATCCTGCACAGCTTCCTCTACGGCCGGTGGCGCAGTGCTTTGGGAGAGCAGCTGCTGGAAGGCAAAGCGGGGGCTCTGCTGGGGGGCGCCCACCCCCAGAGCCCCCCCTCGGCTGGAGGTACCCCCCACAGTGGGAACCCCAAGACTGCCTTCACCGCCGAGGTCCTGGCCCAATCCTTCTCCGGAGGTGAGCCACTTTAAAGGGGGGGGGGCACATCTCGGACCCCAGGAAGGGGCCCCCTTGTCAGGGGAAAGTGAAAGGAGGGGCCCCGCTTAGAGAGGCACCTTTGAGGGAGCCTGTGGAGAGATTTGGGGCAAATTCCAGAGATTTGGGGGGAAATTGCGAAGGGATTTTGGGAAGACTTTGCAGAGACCTTTGGGGAGGTTTTGGAAGAGATTTGGGGAAAGACAATTTGGGGCGAAATTTTGGGGAGACTTTTCAGGAACCTTTGGGGAATAATTTGGAGACAATTTGCGAGAGATTTCAGGAAGACTTTGCAGGGACCTTTGGAAAGGTTTCAGGAGAGCTTTGGGGAAGAACTCGACAATTTGGGGAGAAATTTTGGAGGGATTTTGGGGAGACTTTTCAGGGATCTTTGGGGAGGTTTCGGGAGATATTTGAGAAAGAATTTTGAGACAATTCGGGGAGAGATTTTGGAGGGATTTCGGGGAGACTTTGCAGGGACTTTTGGGGAGGTTTCGGGAGAGATTTGGGGAGAGTTTGCAGGGATCTTTGGGGAGGTTTCGGGAGAGATTTGGGAAAGAATTTTGAGACAATTCGGGGAGAGATTTTGGAGGGATTTCGGGGAGATTTTGCAGGGACTTTTGGGGAGGTTTTGGCGGAGATTTGGGAAGGAATTAGGAGAACATTTGGGGCAATTTTTTAAGGGATTTTGGGGAGACTTTGCAGGGGCTTTTGGGGAGGTTTCGGGAGAGATTTGGGAAGACTGCAGGGATCTTTGGGGAGGATTCAGGAGAGATTTGGGGAAGAATTTGGAGACAATTTGGGCAAAATTTTTGAGGGATTTCAGGGCGATTTTGCAGGGACTTATGTGGAGGTTTCGGGAGAGATTTCGGAAAAAATGTGAGACAATTCGGGGAGAAATTTTGGAGGGATTTCGGGGAGACTTTGGAGGGATCTTTGGGGGGGTTTCAGGAGAGGTTGGGGAAGAATTTGGAGACAATTTGGGTGAAATTTTTGAGGGATTTCGGGGAGACTTTGCAGGGACTTTTGGGGAGGTTTCAGGAGAGATTTGGGAAATAATTTGGTGACAATTTGGGGAGAAATTTTGGAGGGATTTCGGGGAGATTTTGCAGGGACTTTTGGGGAGATTTCTGGAGAGATTTGGGGAAGAATTTTGAGACATTTTGGGGAGAAATTTTGGGGAGACTTTGGCGAAATTTCAGCCAGACTTTATTGAGATTCAGGAGGGACTTTGGAGAGACTCCGGATTTCGGAAATAGTTCGGAAAAGACTTTGGAGGGACTTTTTGAGGAGTGATTCTTTGGAGAGAGATTGCAAAGACATTTGAGAGATTTCCGAAAAAATCTTTGGCGAGGCTTCAAGGGCCACTGCGGAGATTTCTGGGGTTCCAATCCCACAGAACCGCAAACAAATACCCCGGGTTGTCTTTCACGAAGCTCCCCCCATGGAACCCCTCGATCCCAAAGTGCTCTTAAAGGGACAGGGACCGATCCTTAGCCCAAACTGGGGCCCTTCCTTCGTTCCTTGGGATTAACATTCCCCTCCTTCGCCACCCCTTTGGTTCCCAGAGCCCCCCTCTTTCTCGACCCACATCCCCGCCTTTTCTGATGCCTCTTTCCCTGACTTTTTTGGCTCCTTTTCACAGCCTCCTTTGGCGTGTAATAGGACTGGAAAGCCGAGGCCCTTTGGTTAACTTGGGCCTGACTTGGAGGGAAAAGGGGGGGGGGGG